TTGAGAGAAATAGGCCTTTTGTGTACATAGAAAAAGTCTTAGATCTTTGAGTTCAGCTCATGAAAAATGGGGGCAAAAACAAAAGTGTTGCGTTTATAATTTTGTTCAGTGTATTTAAAAGTTACTAATAATGTACTGTAGTAGCTAGTAACTATTTAAGCAGATGACTAATTCAGTTATCAATAATTTATTTATTAATTACTAATTGAGTTCTATATTATAATTGTTTCTAGAAAAAATCAGCTAGTTTTCTCCACACATTTAACTCCAGTGAATATTTCTCAGGGAACGTTTAAAATAACATTTGACAAAAAAATTAATTGAACAATTCTGATTATTGATTAGTATGGTTAAATTATGAGTGCACTTTTAGTTTACTTCAGTCCTGGCATCCATTGAAGTGGACATGAAAAAAAAATCTAATAAAAAAATTAATTTGCACAAATCTTATTTAGACTTATTTCTACTTGGAGAAGAGCATATCAAGTGATTTTATTCTGTTAGCCTACTCCAGAGCAGGCTAACAACCAGGCTAAGATTAATCCTAGTGATTTATCTGTTAGTTCCGCTGTCAATCCTACGAGAAATTGTGTTTTACAGTTACTCCATGGTCTTCTGTAAATATGTTGCATCATTTTAATTATCCTGCATTAAAATACTAGATATACTGTCATTCATCTAAGTATGTCTATTTTAGTGTTATTATGAAGACTGTTCATATTGCTGTCAGAGGTTTGATGAATACATATATTATTGCAGTTGTTGAGATTATAAGAAATGGCTGCTGAAGTTGCAAAGGTGGTTTCATTTAAGTCCATGACAAGGTCAATATGTAGTATATATAGGCTTAAGTCCGATTCAGGTGTTTCCTCTTAACGATGGCGTGCCCTTTGTTGGATGATGTACTAGACGAGGAAGTGTTAAAACTCGGACGAGCATTCAGGCATGAAAGAGTCTTCCGGGACAGGTCAGACCCGTTGGCCTTTGCAGACGAATATCTGACTGAAAGGTACAGATTCTCAGGTGATGGCATCCGATATCCGTGTTGGCTGCTGGGTCCAAAGATACAACACAGATGTTTCACAGCCACGCTCTCACTGTGGCGCTGCGATTCTTAGCAAGTGGCATGTTCCTTTATTGAGGTTTTCAGCATCTCCAACAGAATAAAGGCACTATTTGCCTCACGATAAGAAATGTTAGTCTAGCACTGAAATCACTTGCGCACATATTCATCACCTTCCCTGGCCACAGAAGATTCCACCACATCAAGGAGGAGTTCTACAAGATTGCAGGTAACACTAATTACAGATTACAACAAAAAAGTGTTACATTAGCACCGTCACAGTAGGAAACTCATTTTTTACAGCTTTCCCTAATGTCATTGGTGCAGTGGATTGCACCCATATCCGTATCAAACGCCCCTCAGGGGCACATGAGGGAGATTATGTTGACAGGAAATCTTTCCACAGTATCAACGTTCAGGTAAGAATGATTTATGGTTACTGTCAGCTACATAAATTATTTCTGTGCACTAAATGACCTTAATAGGTCACATGTTATTGTTACAGATGATCTGTGATGCCGACTGCCTTATCACAAATTTAGAGGCAAAGTGGCCTGGCTCGGTCCATGACTCCAGAGTCTTTCGGGCCAGTAGAATTTACCAGAGACTCTCACTAGGTAAGCCACCCCAATTTTTTTAAGCACCTTGGACATCATGTGTGTCAGAAGTTTTACTCTGCTAGTTGTAAGAATTATATTTTGTATTCTCAGGTGAGTTCTCTGGTGTGCTGCTAGGAGACAAAGGCTATGCCTGTGAGACATTCCTGTTGACCCCCCTTGCAGACCCCCAAACTCCAGCACAGCAGGCTTACAACCATGCCCATGCCAGAACGAGGGCTCGAATCGAAATGACCTTCGGCCTCCTGAAATCACGATTTCAGTGCCTGCACCACCTGAGGGTCTCCCCAGACAGGGCCTGTGACGTGACTGTTGCCTGCACAGTGCTGCACAATATTGCCAGCCTAAGAAAAGAAAGGGCTCCCAGAGTTGCTTTGGATATTGTCTGGGA